TACCACCATCCATGCCCTCAGAAGTACAACAATGCATGGCCTTCTCATGAAGTTATCGCCGCAAAAATGAAATCATTTTATTGTGGGTTCTTCCTTAACATACCGAAGTGTAGTAAAGCTACTCCCTATAGTTCGTATAATACATGTGCCGCTTCCCGACTAGGAACTGCAGTTTATGCAACCACGTAATCTTCACCGGAAAGCCCATGTGAAGATCGCTACATGTGCTTCGCATTGTTAAAATGTGCGTTATCCCCTATTATGTGGTTTAAACAGTTGTTTCATGTGTGTTTAAAAAAACATTCTGAAACGAATATTGAGCATAGGTTGCGTGCGTTATTTGAACGCAGATAGGCACTTTTCGCTTCAATAATTTTTGGAATTTAACTTCCCAAATCTATTATATAATTATGAGGGACACCTTAGTAAACGGCTCCGAAAATTCGAGCATCTGGAGTTCTTTAACATGCACTGACAGCGCACAGTAGGGACAGTACACGAGCCACTACCATTTCGCCTCCATCGAGTGTGATTGCCGGCACTCGTATCAAATCCAGGATCTTCGGATGAGCAACCAGGCAGCATAAACTGCTATACCACATGGTGGCCCACTTTTCCCTTCAGTTATGCTTTTCTGCCCACTGGTATGTCGACGGGGACAAAGAAATTCTGCAGTTCGTGTCCTGTATAGCTTCTTGTAAGAAAATATAACGATTCTGACTAGAGTATGGTGACCAATGATTCAACAACTTTGAGCTCATCCCGTAATGGAAGGTGTCGATCATGTATTATTTGGGATCAAAAAAGTGACATCTGTCTACTATAAAGTTCACGATGTCCCGCTTTTTCAAAATTGAATATTTTGGCTCTTCTGCAGAATGATCAAGAAATGAGACAGGCACTGTGGAAACACCCCGAAAAGTTAAGCATCAATTACAGACAACACGGTGCTCATTTCTTGTCTCTGTCGGTAGAGGAGATTGGTCGGTGAATAACGAGAAGTTTGCCAGTTATCGACGTTGAACCAAAAATATATATGTCACAGTAGTCTCGCGTTTTGTCGACATTGTGCACGAAACTTCTGAGGAAAGCTTGAATCTTCTGGCACATAAATGATAAATAGCATTGACAGAACAGTTCATTTTGGTGATATAGGGAAATGACAAGAGCGCTGTTTGCAACTAGCACTGCCATGGTGGTAAAGGGGTTACGGCGCTGGGTTGCTGACTGAAAGGTCAGGTACTAGACTCGGCCCAGACGATCGCATTTAGATGGAGGCGAAATACTAGAGGTTCGTTTAGTTGTATTTAGATTCTCATAATAGAAGTCCAAGTGGGCGACATTTCTGGAGCCCTCCATGGTGACCCTAAATAATCGCGGTTATGGTGTGTAAAACCCCGGGAATTAATAATAATAATAATAATAATAATAATAATAATAATAATAATAATGACTATAACTTTTCTGCAATATGTGTGATAAGCATGCAAGTTGTCTTATATCTTCGAATGCGAAGTTGGTGCCTTGCTCAGAGCAATCTTCAGAATTGATCAAACACTGGCGAAGAAACCTGTGCGTGCTCACCATCCCCCTAAAGTGAGCCTCCTATTAAAAGCCATACATCATAAATTTGATATGTGAAGGGGTAAAAGTGCTTAACTTCTGCTCAACTCCTGAATACCATTGAAGTTCATTAACAAAATTCTATTGACAGAAAAAATAAGAGAAAGCATAGCGGTAACACACCCACACGTTAAGGGGCAAAGAATGCAACACAAAACCTCTCTACAAGGTTCTCTTGTTTCAATTGCTGGAAGCATTTTTTATGCCTCGAGGACGTAAGTGCTGTCTCAAACATTATCATGCGTTACTTTGTGTGTACGTTTTTAGCTGCTTGACACTGTAGCGCTGTCAATAAATTGAATATTCATATTACGCACACACAGGAAAAGATGCTAGGCTGAGAAGTTGGACAGGTTGGAACAAATAACTGAGATATTGGACGTGCAATAAAGGGGGAGGGAAAGAGAGAAACTTATGACAGCCGCATGATAATGCTAAAAATAAACTAGCTAAAATGCTTTGTGAATTCGGCCTTTGCTGTTCAAAAAACTGGCGCATTTACTGAATTCTTCACTTTAACTTTGTACACTGTCGCCTCATATCACACATTCAAAGTATTTTGCCGTGAACACTGTCCAAAATGCTTTTTAAGGCAAGAACTCGGACAAACATTCCTACAAAAGAATGTAAGACTGGACGAGTAGGTAGAGGTTCATAGCTTGAAAAAGCGCAAATGACAAACACATCAGACACAAGAACACAAGACAAGGCGGTATCTTCTCCTCCATCTTATGTGTCCACTTATTGCGATGTTTTAAGCTTTGAATCATTCCTACTTTGCGTGGGTCATCAACATACACCATATACCGGCAGTCTCACCACATGACGCGATTATCAATGTCTTGATATTAGGTGTACCCTTAACTAATTGCAATTCGGGCAAAGTCGATGGCTTTACGAGCAATGATCTTGCCAGTAGGACTAGCTACAAGCACATGACCATTACGACAAGCTGAGATTTACGTGCCATCGTTGTGTTGCCGTAATTGATAAGCGTAATGCACACACTCCTCACCGGCATGACAACCTCATTAGATTGAAGTGCGCTGCAAGTTCTAGGTACCTCGGAGTGGTCCTTGCAAGCATTCATTAAAATCACGGATTGCAGCCTACTTCATCTAAAAAAATAGTCGATGTTAAACCGCACACTGACAGTTCGCCGTTTGAAGCCTTGTGGGTGTGCGTGGTGAGCGATGCTATGCGTTTGAGCGCATTAGTTAATCTCCTTTTCTTTCTCCATCTCCCCATTCATTTTCTTCCGTGCCCTTCCTTTCTAAATGTCTGCGCCTGCATGTGCAATTCGCTTCAGAAGCTTGACGAACATACAGAGACGAGCAATGCTTGAATTAACTCCGATGAAAGTGAATTTGCAGACGTTGCTTTATTTTATTTACTCTTCTCTCATGGCTTCAAGGCTTACGAGTTCCTGAAGCCAAAAGCTTTCGGCTCGTCTCGTCGCAATTTCGGACGAGCCCTTCGGGAAGGATTTTTGGCACTTGCCCATGTGCTCAAGAAATACTGCCTGTCACTATGAAGGCGTTTCTGTAGAGGCGTCGCGATTACAGACTCACGAAGTTCTGCATAGATCGATACCCACAATTTATAGCTGCAATTATAGCCAGAATGCACTGTCGTCTAAAAAAAGAGCTTCGCTCATCTGCAACGAATGAAGGCACATTGGCATCCGAGGCTTGTTGCAACATTTAGCGAATAAAGAGGTAATGTAAAAGAAGCTATAGATGCAATTTATCTTCACTAACATTACTTAGAGATGCCGGTGCCTACAGAGTCTGCCTCGAAACAATGGTCACAACAAAATAGCAATATTCGCAACGAATAAAACAAACCATGATTATATAATTACACACACACAAAATATCCAAGTTTTGTGTAGAAATCACATTTGTCTTGGAGTTCTCATGAAGAAAATGTACCTCAGTAGGTGCACTGTAGGCCTTCTGTGAATTCCCCAATCTGCGCACACTGCTTTGGCCTCTGGGGTTGAATTAGTGAATTTTTGTGCATAAATGCATTTATTCAGTGGCCAGCCACTTTCACTGAAAATGTACCGAACGCCTACACTGGCGGATATGAATTATTTGAGCTCTTTAAGCGTATGGCAACGTTTTCTTTTGTGAATGCGGACCATGACAAGAGCACAGGCGTTATGAAGCCGAAAAAATTAGTTGGGTTTGTCCGGCCGAAAATGGTCGCATATTGATTGAGAACAATATAGCCTAAGCCAGGCTCATGGCCGAAAAGTTTGTTCGGGGAAGGGGGGGGGGCATTTGTTCAAGGCCTTGAAAGACACCTATTTTCATTAGTTATTCTCGGCAAAATACCCCGCTTCATCCGAATTCTGCGGGGCGGGGGAGCCATAGTAACTTACTTGCCGGTCCATGGGCCTGACTTAAGCCCAACCTCGCTATCTCAATCTGTTACCAAGGAAGTCGTTTTCTGTTGTTGCTAATTTCGCTGGATTAATGCGAATTATATCACTTTTTGTTCCTAATAGTGATAAGCCCAATTTTCTAAGCGAAAATTATCAATAAAAAGTATCAATAATATTTATTTACTTCATTTATGTATTTAACCCACTTTACTAAGTGTTTGAAATATAGGAGTTTTTACAGCAAGTGAAAGAGATGAAAGCAGTTAGCATTTTTAGAGACAGAGGTGGTTGTTGCAGTTTGTCGGCAGTATAGAGATGCCTGATTATACGCAGTTTTCTGAAAGTTTTGCGACGCCGTGAAAATTTCGGTTGCAAACAATCTAGAAAAGTTACCAATAAAAATGCTCTTAGATGACAGCGTATGTTTAAAAAAACATACACAATGAACTCACTGCTCAACGATGACAGAGTGTTCGCTAAAGCAGTTCGAAATTTTTGGTTGCCTTCAATACATGTATCATAACGGGAAACTGGTTGTATTGCATTAATCACCAGATATATATATATATATATATATATATATATATATATATATATATATATATATATATATATATATATATATATATATATATATATATATATATATATATATATATATATTTACTGAACAAAATATCTAGTGTCACGTTATTCTGGATCGGCATAAAATGTTGCGTAAGTTATTTGTTACAATCGATTAACGAGCCTGGTCAATCAACTCTATAACGTCTGGCGTCGTAATTCGGCAGTTAGAAAATGATACGCCCTCAACTATCACCGTCTTCTTATCACGTCAAACGGGCGGCGTGCTTCATTTCTCTCGCAAGGCTGAGTATGTCTGCCTATCGTCATGCCAACTCTGTAAATGCTTCTTTAAAATAGCAGCATAGCAAGTCACAACGAAAATAGCTTACTATTATCAAAATAGCTTACTATATCGCACCTTTGAGCTTCTTTCAACTTCCTGGCAGCAAGGTACCTCTGGACGACTACTTGGTCCATGCCCGAGCGAAACAGGCTGTGGACGAACAGTCCAATCATGCAGGCCCAGATGTTCTCGTCTTTTGTGTAGTCCAGGCTAGCACTGGTAACAAAAATGAACAAACGGAACATTTAACGTCCGTCTTAATTTACTCACTTCTGAATAGTAATCAAGGGGCAAAAGGCTTACTCAAATATGTACTCCTTCATATTGAAGTCACTCGCCGGCCGCAGTCGATCGCCTTGATAATGAGAGTCGTAGATTACTTTAGTAACGACGGTTATGGGAGCCATCAGTATTAGTAGCGACTGAACGCAGTCGGTCCAAACGACTCCTCGCATTCCTCCCTGCGAAATTGCAGTCGCCAGTGTAAAATACGCAGAATAGCAACGAACAGGTAGTATCAGTGAAAATACAGCGATAGCACATTTTTCAGCGGTGTGTGGACAGTGCCAAATTGAATATAAGTAGAGTAGTGGCAGAATAGAACCGAATATCACATCATTTTCATTTTCTAATACTTTTCGAATATTGGACAGCTGTTTTTGTAGTATATATAAAACGACGATCAATTCCTGAAAATCAAGCTTTAGCATTAGGACTCCAAATGGAGCGTCAGGCGCCAATAAGGTTATTAGCATGTGCCGGTTATGTAACAAGCTTTAGCATTCTCAGCAGAGATTACGAACGATCATCGTATAGCCGGTATAGTCCAGCTCCCCCTGCAATGTAGCTTGCAGCAATACGTAAATTCTCATGCTCATATTTATCCTCGCAATGAAACTTATACTTTTCTCACCACGTTATGTGTATGAACGTAAATGACATATTGTAGTACGGTAATATTTATTAAATATAAAAACAATTTTCTAATTTACAAACGTCAGGCATTTCAATCGTATACCTTATCGAATACAACAATATCAGTTTCCACATTTGAATCTTTCCGCCTTTTTCCATGCTCTACAGGACGTTTTTAAAAAAGTTTCTGCAACAATTAACACTTATGCTTGTAGTCAGAATGTTATTACCAATACTACGCCTCGCAATGGTGGTATAGTGGCTAAGGTACTCAGCTGCTGACCCACATGTCGCGGGATCGAATGCCGGCTACGGTGGCGGCATTTTCAATGGAGGCGAAAATGCTGTAGGCCCGTGTGCTCAGATTTGGGTGCACGCTAAGGAACCCCAGGTGGTCGAAATTTCTAGAGCCCTCCACTACGGCGTCTCTCATAATCATATGGTGGTTTTGGGACGTTAAATCTCACATATCAATCATCAATATTCCTAATACTACAGCACGAAGAGCGAAAGATGTATAGTGCACTGCAAACGGGGGTCGGAGCCCTTTAGAACAACATTGTAAAAAGCCATTTAAAGGAAACGTGCTGCCATGACCTACCTAATTTTTCTTTATAATTTCGGGAAAAATTTCAGGCAAATGTACTACCTAACTGCAGCAGTATTTTTGAAGCACGCGCTGACAAATTATGCTTTTTCAGGATGATAAAGTTAGCTAAAGGGGAGGAAATAGAGAAATCATCATCATTTGTCCGGAAACTGACACATAAATCTACACATTCGAACTAACTCAGACTCAGATGGAGCCGTGAGTCTGAGTCTGAGTGAATGTGGGGAAGTAATGTTTTAGTTAATTTAAGACCGAGTGAGTCCGGCTAAGATTTTAGTGCGTTTATTAAATAAGCGGTGTCGTGTTGACGAATTACTCATTTCGGTTTTTTCCGCAAGCAATTTTTGTCAGTTACTGATTAGGTTAATGTTCGCTTTGATCTTGTAAAGCGTCAAACCATTAATGACTGTTTCCGAATACTTAGTAGTGTGTTTTTACTTTTTTTCTAAGAACTGTTGATAGCTAGTGCTTTTATATTTGTTAAGCAGCCATGCATTTTCTCGCTGCTTCGCCTAAATTCGCAGTTGCAACGTGTTCCTAAAGGTTAAAGGTTGGCGACGGTAACTTACGAATATGTTTTTACTGATAAATGTAATTTACGATAAAAAAAAATCTAGCTAAAAGATGGAAAAAGTACTGAATAACAAGTGATTCAAAACTGTTGAAACAAACAAATAAACAAACAAACATATCAAAAATATATCTAAACAACGTGTTTATATGGCAACATGTAGGCTTACTTTGACGACAAATCGTTGAAAAGAGAGTGTGCCAGAGTGGCATTCTCCGTTCATCGATGTCTGATCAAACATCAAGAAAGCGACAAGTAGTACCGCTAAAGAATAGTGAAACGTGTTCAAGTATTAATCTCATCACAGCACTCTTGCACCATTTGAGGCAGAAGAAAAGGTCCAACTTTTCAAAAGCGGTTTACAATTCAACAAATAATACATAGGGTTTCGGGCAAACACTTTCAGCGCTCATGGTTGAAAACAAAACGAAGAAAACTTCAAAGAATTGCACTTTCTTACCAGCGAAGTGTAGATGGTGCTGGCGATACCGATGGCAACAGTGCTCCAAGGCAAGGATGCGTTGAAAACTGCGGTTACAAAATTCAAGCCATTTTACTAACGGCTACCTGAGCGCGCAGTTTTTATTGCTCTGATCATGCGGAGAGAAAGTTTCAGACTCACTAGTTGAGACTGCAACAGAGGCGGTGAACAAGGCGACGGCTCCAATTGTTACCTGAATAAAACATTGAGACAACACAATGAATATCAGCTCCTAAACCGCCACCTTCAAAATCTTGCTTTGTTTCAAAAGTGTACTCACACTTATGAAGAAGTAAATTCCGCACGCTGTCAGCCCTATCTTGTTTCCATACCGCATCCTTAGATACTGAAAGGAAAAATAAGAATAACTAAGCGCGCGAAGGTGACACCGGCGCACAGAGAAAGAACTGTTACATTCATACAGGTAAGCTCTCACTGGAAACGAAATTTTCATTACCCGAAATTCTTTTCACATGCAATAAATCTCTGTATGTAGGCGTGAAGCATTTTGCCTCCATCTAAAAGCGGTCTATTTAGGGTGGGATTCGACTCCACGACCTCCTGATCAGTGGTGAAGAACCACAATCAGTGGGCCACCACTGCCTTTCTTTTAAATTTTAATATGAAGAAAATGGGGATCTAGTGAAAAATAAGCTCGAGGCCAAAACTTAAAGAAATTTGGCAAGTCATAGTGTCGAGTGTGGCTGCACTGCTAATTTCAATAAGATGGCCCTGCCGTGGTGGTATAGTAGCTAAGATACTCGGCTGTTGACCCACTCGTCATGGGTTCGAATCTCGGCTGCGGCTTCTGCATTTTCGATGGAGGCGAAAAAGCTGTAGGCCCGTGTGCTCAGATTGGGGTGCACGTTAAAAACCCCAGGTGGTAGAAATTTCCGGAGCCCTCCTCTACGACGTCTCTCACAATCATGTGGTGCTTTAGGGACGTTAAACCCCACATATCAATCAACTTCAATCAGACACGCATCTAGCGCACACAGCGTCACTGACCCACCAGTGAACTGTACGAAACATTTACATTTCATTCCGTTGGGTTATCTTTTCTAGGTGCACCATCCAGCGTACTGACCGACAAGGGTTCGAATTATCTCCATACGTGGACAATGCGTATTTAAGGATTACTTCAGAGGTATGCCTATAGGGATCTTCTCTCCACCAGTTCCTTTCTTTTCCTGTTGTTTTCATTTCCCAAGAAGCCTATATTTGTAGCTACGAAATACGCGTTCGTTTTGTTAGCCAGCGTTAAGTCACGCCAATCTTTCTTGTTCCATTTCCCCAGGCTGTTTACTGTTGTGAAGCCGGTGTTCATGGAATGAATTATTTACGGGCCATAGTCATAGAAACTATGATACGCAACTTATGAGCTTGGGCGTTTGAGAACTCCAAAACCTGGCTAATTATTATACAGCATGAATGTTCTCATGTTGTGAAGTACCTGCCTCATAACATCAGTCCGTACAGCAATCGCTACGGTGATGCAGTAAAATGACAATGTCGTTGCATCCTCTTGTCACTGCTATTTATATTAAGGCGTAACTTGTGAGTGGTGCAGCACATTTATTCCCTGACATTAAAGTTCCTACCAGGAGTGTGAATAAAAACTTGACGAGGTAGCGACAGACGCTTCATTTTAAAAAGTAAAAATAGAGTACATTTTATGAAATTGTGCAGCATTCACTCGGCAGTTTCAGTATCATTCGCTTCATATAATTTCAACATGTGCAGTAGATCTTGGTATATGTCAATGTATAGTATATAAGCTTAACAACGAAATCCTAAAACAGTAGATTTAGAAGCACGTCGAATAAACCAACTAAGGAGCTTGAAAAGCATGGAATCTCTTTTCCCCCTCCATCCCTACAGCAGGCCTCCTAATCATCCCGTGGTTTTAACTCGAAAAAACAACAACAACCATCATTATTATTATTACTAAAATATGGCAAACAGAAACCCATCTACCACCCAGCGCCAACATAAAGCGTGTTCTCATTATGAGAACAAAAAAAGCTCATGTAATTTATATAATTTCGACTCACTTTATTACGACCGACGAAGGCCACGAGCATATTTTACACGTAAACTTAGGCGCCGCTTCCCTAATACTTGATGTTCGTTTCTTAACACTTGATGATCCCGCCACAGCCGGGATCAAATTCCGGCTGAGGCGGCTGCATTTTCGATGGAGGTGGAAATGCTGTAGGCTCGTGTGCCCAGATTTGGGTGCACGTTAAAGAACCCAAGGTGGTCTAAATTTCCGGTGCCCTCCACTACGGCGTTTCTCATAATCATATCGTGGTTTCCGGACGTTAAACCCCACATATCAATCAATAATTATTATGCGCACTCAGGTATCTCGATGAGATGCAAGTATGTTGTATATAGTCGCGTAACGAGGGGACCACTAACGTTCGCATTACAAGCCCCAGCAGTGATAGGCATGTAAATTACGCCGTACGTGACTTCCATGAAATGATTATCAAGTTCGCACCTGACATTCGTGTTCGCCATCCATTCTTGTCACGTAATACCAAATTTGTTGTATGTGAAGCTAGTGAAATGGCTGCGAGCGCATCATGAGTTTGGTACGTAGACATGTTCTTACATGACACGCATGTCATTATTATCCTGTTTGCGCTAGTCATCTACCTCCATCGTCCGTTCGCGTCACGTAATACGACATTCGGTGTATGTGAAGCTAGCGAAACGGCCGCGAACGCATCATGAGAATGACAAGTAGTCATTTTCTTACCTTACACGCATGTAATGATTATTGTGTTTGCACCAGCCATATACTTTCGTCATCCATTCACGTCACGCAATACCAAACTTAGCATATTTGAAGCTAGCCAAACGACCACGAGCGCACCATGAGCGTAAGGCATGTAGTCATGACTTGGACGACTTGCATGTCATGATTCGCACGTTAAGGCTCGTCACTTATGTTCGCCGTGCAGTCATGTGATACCATACCAGTTTTGCAATATGTCATGTGAACGAAACCACCGCAAGATCAGCAACACCATGACATGTCAATCATGTCATTCATGGCATAAATGTGATGCTATGCCATACGAATTTTGGTAAAGACATCATCGAAACGGCCAGGAGAGCTAAAAGTCGCAGGTGGCTAGACAGACGGACGGACAGACAGACAGACAGACAGACAGACAGACAGACAGACAGACAGACAGACAGACAGACAGACAGACAGACAGACAGACAGACTCAAAGTCACCGACGTTCGCTAAGAAATTCTTCACATTTAAAACTGATGTGCCATTGCACTCTGTTACGTTGAATGACCCGGGAAGCTTTGTAGCAAATGGTACAGAGGTGGCACATAAATTAACAACAGGTTTGATTGATTTGTGGGGTTTAACGTCCCAAAACCACCATATGATTATGAGAGACGCCGTAGTGGAGGGCTCCGGAAATTTAGACCACCTGGGGTTCTTTAACGTGCACCCAAATCTGAGCACACGGGCCTACAACATTTCCGCCTCCATCGTAAATGCAGCCGCCGCAGCCGGGATTCGATCCCGCGACCTGCGGGTCAGCAGCCGAGTACCTTAGCCATTAGACCACCGCGGCGGGGCAAATTTACAACAGGTGGAGATACGTTTAAAAGTATTGAGCCAGCGGCCGTGGAGGCGGCCATGGTTATGAAATACATACTCACTATTTTATTCTTAAGTGGTAGTCATTACTTGTTCTGACCTGTGCTTTGCTTCTTGGCAGGGTGTTCACGAGGTCTCCCACTACAATAGAAGTGAAATTCAACGCAGCTAGAGAACGGTAGCATGTCTTTTTGTGTTGGATGACTGCACCAAGGACCGAGAGAAAGACGAATGCGAAGAGGAGGAAAGAACAAGGCGCCAAGGGCGTCAACAGAACGAATCGGTCGTCTCTCTCCATAGAAGTACTGCATATGCTACCTAAACTTACTCTACTCTTCCGCCGAGGCAATCCTCGATGGAGAGGGAAGGTCATTCCGGCCGTGAGGACGAGGATCATCTCTTAAAGCATCCTCTTCCACGTCACTCTTGCTCTTGTGTTATATTGCCAGTTATATGCACACCCTCGGATAGATTTTGCCGCCGTTGTCAGTGTGACCGTCACTCACTGTATATGTATACGTATGTATATATACGGACACGTAAGAAACAAAAATGACCCAAAAAAGACTCCAGCGCGTGGAATCAAGTGCGAGGAGTTAGCCCCCAAGCCACGAAGGCGCACCTCTCTCAGTGCCAAACGGTAAGCTATTTGTATCTACCAATTACCGCTGGCGATGGGAATCTTGTGGGAAACTGTCGTGTTTTCAGCATTACGAGCAAGAAGGCACAATGAGGGCGCAACGCCACATCGTCATGACACGGTGGCGCGCGCTCTCATCTCCCACGCGTACTTTGTCCCGCGAAGAAGGGGTAGGGCTGACGTTCACACGTGCGCTTGCGCAGACAATCGTGCGCCTTGGCTGGCCTTGGGCTTTCATTAAAACAATTCTGTTGTAGCTACCGGGTGCACAAAAGTCACTGCAATCATTGCATAGTCTCCGTTTGTGAAAAGGGCGTGCTTTTCAGACACAGCGAAGTAACATCTGAGACGCTTATTCGCGTTCATATGTACCTGTCTGTACGTTTCGTGCATAATTTGTGCGTGAGAATTGTGAGAAATGCGCCCCGCATTTCTATCTGTTCACCATTCTGAGCGTGACATATATGTATATGTATATAAATAAATATATATATATATATATATATATATATATATATATATATATATATATATATACAGGGTGTTCCAGCTTTCAGCTAAAAAGCACCAAGCAATAAAAAATTAAAAATGAGTGTTACGCGTTTCAAGCTAGCGCAGTATTGTTCTTAGCTGTATGTAGCACGTCAGAATATTTTTTGATCCGCCAAGCACGGTGATAACAAAGATTGCTTATTAAATTTTTAAATACTGACTCTAGATAAAAATTTCAATACAAACGGCCTCTTATCTAGAAATAAAAAAAACTTTCAAGTTACGGTAAGGTAACAACGCTCGTTAATTTTTTTTCAGGGTTTGTTTAAAGTGTGCGAAATTAAAAAGATACCTTGAGATTGCCGAGCAACGCATGGCGCATTCAGTGCCCTCAAATGTAACTTGAACGAATTAGCGAAGGCTTCACCCGCACAAAGGACGCTTGAACAGGCTATCGGTGACTACGATGGGCATTAAGCGATGGTTGGATGGTACCACCCAACCATCGAAAGAAAGAAACGACGACAATGAACTTCGACGAAAAAGCGGCTGCCACATGCACTGCCATACCAGACCAGA